GGGGGGGGGGGGGGGGGGGGGGGGGGGTCACTTTTTACACAGAGATAATTCAATGCTGTTTGGACGGCCTCATACTGTCCACAATCTTACTATAATCTTTCTTTGACGTATACAACAGCGGCAGTTGTTTCTTGGAGAGGGAGCGGGAGACAAACTGACCATAAAGAGGGGGTGGGGCATGAGTGGGATGAACCCACGCTCATTTCTGACCACGAAAAAATTGTTCACAACTTGTTACTGAGTTTTGAAGATATGATAAAATGATTGTAATCCTATTATAAAAGCCCATTTTCTTTCCAGTCAGATTTCTGAAAATATCATGATAGTTCTCTTCTCTGCCACTGTTCCCTTTAGTCACAGATCGTTTTCTCCAATCAATTGTTTAAAGTTCAGAGCAGCAGATGTGATACAGAACTGGACTTAAATTAGAGAGCTAAACGACATGAAATGGAACTTCCAAAACAGCGAAATTGCACATTTTATGTGAAATTTCCTTAAGCTGGACCTGTGTTTGAAATCAAGCTTCTCTCTGAAGGATTTCAGATTCCATCATCATTTTTGTTCTAATTTCTATTCTGTGCTATTAAAAAGTGTCCTATCTAGTTAGCATCTGCATTACTGCCGTATCGCAAATACGTCCATGATTAACTCTGTGCATTCATCTAATCAATTATATGTGCTTCATTTTTTCTGAATTGTCACTGTTATCTTTTCTAGACGATTTTGATATGTTCTGCTCTCAGATTTTATTTACAGATGCTGTCGGAACGGAACAGTGAAGCGGAGTCGACGGCGTTCCTTCCGACAGGCGCATTCGGCGTGCTCTCTGGTGATGGGCTTGGAAGGGTGAGCTGATACTTATTTTATTCATTCTAACTTTTTATTATAAACAGTCAAATGAAGTACTTTTGAAGTTTAAGTACCAAGTGCAAAATGGTAATTTTTGATAATAACTTCTAATCTGAAATTCTTTGCTTTTTATGGCTAAACGGAATAATATGCTGAGAGTGCCATTGCTCAACCACAGTTTTTTTTTCCTTCTTGCCCTCTACTACAAACATCCCTACATAGTTTCTTACCCACTAAACACATTGCAAAAAGTCAGCGCTTTTGCCACAGTATTTCAAAAGTTACATGTCAACACACTATTTTTAGTATTTATGAGAAGCCTGCTTGTGTTTATTTCAAGTTTTATATATAAGTTGTCGTGGGAGATTCCTAGATTGTTTCGCTAATACTTCCGAAAATATCACCTCACTGAATATGAAATAGACTGCAAATCAAAAGGCTGAGAGTTCATATCTCCCAGCATTGCACTGGCCCGTCGTTTAACAAAGTAAGGATGGCTATGCGTTTCAAAATCATTTCTATGGCTTTTCTAACCTTAATCATATAATAAATTTCCTCGAGAAAATTTCAGCTTTTCTAGGAGATAGTCTTGTTTACGAAGCCTGACATGATAATTACATGAATTCTGTTTTTAAAAAGTGTGTTATTTAGCAACACATTTCATTTTGCCACTAGACCCACTTTTCGAAATATATGATATCGGACAAGTACGTTCCGTTTTTTCCAAATCCACAAATTTTTAAGAAAGAAAGTTCCATATAATACGATTCAAAAGAAGTCCCCTTTTCAAAGCAGATGTACTTGGCTTGACCACTTTTAGGTTGCCTTAAATAGAAATGATTAAATGTGAAAGTTTAGAGGACCGAAAAAGCACAACCGACAGCTTATTTTTGGAATGCAAGAAGCTTGACAATTGCTATTACGCTGTGTTGTGGCGTAATTGCATACGCTGATTTCAAAAATCATATTCACTTTCAATACAGTATGCAGCAGAGTCAAAATTACCAATTTGTTCGCAAAGTGCCTACTGAACACTACCCACGTTAGTGCTGATTAACATGCAGATTAGAAAAATTTTATCGAAATAGTGCACGTAAAACTAGTGCGGATATACGATAATAAAGT